TTGAGATGAAACTAACCACTGTGCGATGCCCATGCACTTCCTTGAAGCATTCAGTGCTTTTGACTCCACCCACACTTCTGTGGTTCGAAGGCTCTCTGCCCCAGACAATCGCGGCCGTGCAAGGCGAGATTTTTATGTCTGTGGGCTTAGGGGGTGGATGGCTGTTCTTTTCAAATTGGTGTCCTGATCGACTATGTTGGATCTTGCGCCACATTCAGAAATCGGATTGTGCCCCCCCCCCATTCCAGGGCACATGCAAGACACCATCTGTATGTCTAGGATCATGAGTGCTTGCAGCGTGAGGCTTGGAAGCGCTAAGCTCCCGAAAAGAGCTGGGAATTAGCCGGAACCTTGCTCGGCCACCTGAAGCTCAGAATTTCCTTTCATGACCTTCACCGCCCAAGCGCCCAAAACCGCAGGTCCTTCTGGCTTCCAGTGTCCAAGGCAGGCCTCGCAGGGACGGGAAGGAGTTGGAAGGATTGTCTTTTTCTTCTTCTCCTCGGACTTCGGACTTCGGAGACTCCGATACTCCGGTCTGGCGCTTGGCTTCGCAAGCTGAAGCTTTCACCGCGCTGCAGCTCCGGCATGGCCCCAACAACCGTACTGTTGTATTCAAACTCGAGCCATGCTCGCTCCTGTTCGAAAGCTGCTCGCCTGGTGCGCCGTGTTCTGCGGCCGGGGAGCGAAGGCTGACGAACAAGAATGCCCAGTTCTGCTTCAGACTGGAAGCGAACTCTGTATCCGCGAGACTGCTCTGCACTGGTGGGGGACGACTGTAGCTTCAAAACGGAAGCCGGAGCCCATTGCAACTGCACGGTTGAGCACGCATCCCGTCTCATGTATGCAACGTGGGTGCGACCTGGAGCTTCCGTCCTCCACGTTGGGGCGCGCTACGGCCAGACCTCGTGTCTGCTTTCCAAAGTGCTCACGGCAGAGAACTCCACGCTTTTCTCCGTGGAGGCCCCTCACCTGCAGCCCAGCTAACAAAGGACCCAACAAGAGCTCCGATGGCCGCCGGGCCGCGGAGGCGGACCCCAAAGTGTGGGAGGTCCTGGAAGCAAACCTGGCGGAGCACCACTGCCGGAGCGACGCAGGAGCTCCAAGGGCGGGAGGCTCCGGCTTCGATCCTCAGCCCAAAGGGCCCACGACCCAAAAAACGGGGGAGGGAAGGCGGGCCCACAAAGATTCAACAGGTGCTATTTGTTATTGTTAGTGGGTGCTTCTATCTCTACTGCCATTTTGAGGGATCTTGCTCTCGCTCCTCTTGCTCCTGCGCTGGCTCTGGCTCCTGCTCTTGCTCTTACGCTTGCTCCTGCTGTTGCTCCTCCTTTTTTGCTCTTCTTCTAGTTCTTGCTCCTGAACCCCCCCAATGCAAACACGGCTTTCAAAGGCGAGGATGTCAGAGGGGTTTTCCGGACAGAGTTTCTTTATTTATTGCAAGGGGGGTGTTTAACGTACATTGGGGAAGGTGTTTCTTTGGAGTTTAGGCAGGCCCCCTTGTCCGCCAAAGTGTTCTCCAGGTGGTGCGCGGTGTGGTTGGGCCTCGCAGCCTCAAAGTCATCACACCCGACTACGCAAAAGGCGACATCCACGGATACGGGAACGTGGCTGTGGACATCGATGACCCGCGGTCGGGAGTCATCTCGCCCGCCCATACGATTGAGTCGCTTGGCACAGGCTTTGACACTCTGGCGATCGACTGCCAAGGTTGCTTTGCCACTTTCTTGGATGAGAACCCCATGCTGCGGCAGACGCTCTTAGCGATCATCGTAGAGGTTCACCAGTGGTCGTCTGAGCCGGCGGCTGTGCAAAAGCTGCTTCAGGAAGGTTGGGAGTTGAAGCAACGGGTGTTGCGTCAGCACGTGCTGTGCAAGGGGCCGTGTGTCAGTCAGTGTGATCCACGTTGGTCTGATCAGCACGCCCGCCAGTACTACGGAAAGGACTTTTGGTGAGCGGCCAGTAGCAGGGGTCCGGGTCCTCATCCCGACACCTTGCGAGTTTAAGCAGGAACAGCCTCGAACTCCGGACCACCCAAACCAGCACCCCCTGATTCCAACGTCTCTTTCATGCATCCCATGCCTCCACCAAATATTTACTACTACTGCATGTGTGGGCCCCACAGACAGACCTCGCCGGCCGCACGCAGCCGCGCCGTGGCAGATAGCCTTTCTCTTCGCATGGGAGTAATGCCCATGATCCGATCCGTCTTGTGGAGACAAGTGAAAGAGGTTGCCTGCCGCCAAGCTACCAAAAGGCTGATGCTACTGGGCAATTATGGCGAGTTCGGCACCTGCAGAGCAGAGAGACACACGCCCATATAGCCTCTTTAGCCAGGGAATGTAAGCTACACTGCATATTCCAAATCATTTCGCCAGGTTAGTCGCATGTCCCACCTGAGCCACGACAGGTCTTGCCCAAAAGCAGAGCTAAATCATCATAGCCGTGAACATTCGACACCACTTTGAGACGTGTTTGCGATGCAGCCTGAATCTCCCTCATGTCCCCAGTGAAGCGGGTAAAGTGACTAGTCGGCCAGGTCGCAGAGATTTGCGTGGGCCCAGGGTCTCGGACCCGGAAGTGATGTTTTCAGGCTTGTATAACTCCGGCAGTACATGTATTTTGTACCAAGGCCAAGATTGATGGCCGCCGCCGTCGCAGCGAGCCTCAGCTGAAGGCTCACTTGTTGACATGCCATATGATGGCTCTAGCCGGGCTTAACATGTGAACGCAACATTCGTCCTCAGATGGAGGAATGGACTGCCGCTTGCCAGACTGCGGTGCAGTTTGCCAGGTCCTTACCTTTATGATCGCCAGCAGCTACGATGCTTGCTGTCTCAACTCTGCGTGCGTGAACGAATTCAATATGCTTGAGCTGCAGGCTCGCGCAGTTCAGGCCAGTCGGAAGTGTGTTCCATCACATGGAGAGTCATTGTATTGGAATCTCATGTGTGCGTTCGGGTTTAGGGTGTACGGTGTAAGCTGTGCGGAGTGAGCACGCAGCTTTGCAACCGGACAAGCTAGATACAGCCCGTTCGGGGACTTCACGAGAAGAAGGAGCTCAACCGCTTGAGTGCAGCCCCTTGAACCCTAAACCCTTAACCCCGAACCCCAAACCCGTAAATCCCTAAACCCTAAACCCCCAAAACCCTAAACCCTTAACCCCAAACCCTAAACCCCAAAATCCCTAAACCCTTAACCCTAAACCCTAAACCCCAAAATCCCTACACCCTAAACCCTGAGTCCTCCCAGCTGTTACCTGGTGCTCGCAAGAGTCAAAGAGAGCCATCAGCTGATCTCCTGGGTTCACCCCCCACTTGAACGGGCTTCAGTTTTTATGAAGGTAATCCCCTTCTGGCCTAACTTGCCCCTCTAGGGCCCCCCCAAAAAGCCCTTTACATCCCCCAACCCCAAAAAACCCCAAAAAAGAGGCCAAGAGGCCCCCAAAAGGCTCCGCACTCTGTGCGACGCCTCTTCCTCCGAGCCCCCAAACGGGTCTGCTCAGAGGGCCCCCCCCCGCCTTAAGGCGAGAGGGAGAGGGGATGTGCAGAATGGGATTCCGAAACATGAGGGGCTCTGTTTCGTTTTTTTTTTGGGGTTGGGGGATCGGACTTACGTTGTGAGGATGGCAGCATCTCAATGCACTGCATAGAAAGACCAGTGCGGAAAGGAGAGCTTGCTCTCAGATCTTGTAGCGCAGTGCCGGCACTGCAGGAGTCTTCAGGGTGGGGACGGATCCGCATTCGTCCTCCGTGCCGTTTTGTGCAGTCTTCCCAACGAAGATCGACGCCCGGGTGCTGCGTGCGCGGTGTGGTTCAAGCGTATCTCTGTATATGTTTGGGTTGAGTGGGGGAGAGAGAGAGAGAGAGAGAGAGAGAGAGAGTAGCCACCAAACCCCAAGCAAGCAAGCAAGCAAGAGAGTAGCCACTTAGTTTCAGAGTAAGCTCTGGGAGTGACCGTGCCAGCGGTGGCCATGGAATCTCTGCGATACAACGCGGCTCCAGGAGCTCCAGTTTGCTTCATCTTCCTATGGGCCACAGGCTGTCTCGTAGATGCCTTTGGGCAAGGCCTAGGCCTAGGCCAGGACTCCGAGAAAATGCGAGGCCTTCTGCGGCTTTGGGAAGATGAGTCGCGAGCGATGGTGGAGGAAATCGTGGTGCCCGACTTTCTGAGCTGCAGCTTCGACGACAAGTGGGCGGCGATACGCCTTGAGATGGTTGCTGCTCTGCAGCACATGCCGGAGGGGCTTCCTAGATTTCCTGAATCCTTGGCTGACCTTCCAAAGTATCCTTGGCTGGAGAATCTATTCTCTGTGGCAAAAGAGATCGAAGATCTGACTGTCTATCACAGGCACGACAATGGAAACTGGCATCTTGCCGGGGATTTTCATGGGATCAAAAAGCGAGCACTGCAACCCAAACATCTGCAGCCGGAGACATGGTCCTGCTTCTTTGGTTACATTAGCATCTTCTACATCGTCGCATGGTGGTACGCTTTGAACATGGATGGGAACGAGGCGACCTTGTACCTACAACTGATCTCACAACTGCTCAAGAAGGGGCAGGTTGATTGGACTGAGCATTCGGGCTGGCCCATCACCTCTTGGAGTGTCTACCTGAACATCCAGCGCCTGAACGCCGGAATGCCCTTCGCACCTCTCCCCGCAGAGCCGGCTCCTGTCCATCCGCTGGCGCACTTGGTCCCCCCGGTTTGGCCGCGAAGTCGGGCCTCCAGGCAGCCAGCGCCAGAGGAGCCACGACGCCTTCAGCTGAGCGCCTTCTTCCTCGCCATGCACGTGCCCCCTTTCAGCGATTTACTGAGCTTTCTGGAGGACTGGTGGCCTGCGCCCGCCGTGAGGATCTACTCGCATTACATGGGCTTTCCGGAATGCTGTCCTGGCGTGGGCCGGGCTTGCAAGGAGGAGGCCTTGGAAGCCGCGAAGCCGAGGCAGAAGGACTGGAGGATGCCCTTCTGCTCTCAGGACGAGCAGCTCTTTTCCCTGATAGGCATGCAAGAGATCCATGATCACAGCCAGGGCCAATGGGAAGGTGCTTATCGCAACCATCGCCATGAGCATTGGGCGGATGTGAAGAGGGAGTTTGCTGCCAAGTACTACAACTGGCTGGACTCCCACGTGGATCTCTTCCTTTGTGGCCATCCGCTCTTCTGGTGCACGCTCTTCGAGGACCTGCTGCGCGCCAACCAGAAGAAGTCCATGCTCGCCGTCTACGACCAGCCCCCTTTCTTTTTGGTGCCTGAAGAGGGTGAGGATGATTTTTTGGCCAACCTGAGAGCCTTCGCGGAGCCAGAATTCCGAAACGCCGTTCTGGTAGGCTTTTCTCCTTTCTTCAGCCGCCAATTCGAATGGCTCGTCGGTCGCAAGATTCCCCACAGTCGCCCAATTGCCTTGGCCGTGCGAGATGTTTGGCAGCCACTTCAACCAGACTCTGTTCTCTTCTCCACCTCTATCGATTATGAAGCAATCGCAGTTTTCTTCCGCTACGCAGAAGAGAATGTTATTCTAGATCCCAGCGGCTTGCACCTGAAATTCCTGGAGTGGGGCTTGGATGCGTATGCCAAGAAGCAAGGACGCATTGGTCTCGATTACGAGACCCCGAAATCGCAGATTGCACAGCTTCGCTGCGTCGTCGTTACACCGTATGACTTCGCCCACTTGAAGCTGGCTGAGTTCAAGGCCATGGGGATGCCGATGTTCATGCCAAAACAGCTCTGGAAATGGACCACCAGGTGGTCACAGATGATCGCGCGCCCCGCCGGCCGAAATGCCTCCAAGTTCACAGAAGCTCGCTCGCGCCCCCCAGGGGAATGCTATGATACCGAGCTCCAAGCAGATCTGCCAATGCCAACTCTGCCAGAGTCCTTCTACCGAGACCCGTGGGGTTTCCTTCCCGATGGCGGCTTATGTGCCAGGGCATTGTCGCAGTGGGATGATCACTCAGGACCCTTTGGACGCTCTCCGTTCCAGCTTTTCACCATTGACCGCAGGGATTTGCAACCCTTAGACGGCACGCTGTTTTGGTCCCAGTGGAGCGAGATGTCCTTGCTGCCCTACACGATCTACTTCGATTCAGCAGCGCACCTCATCGCATTGCTGCGGCTTTTGCCGCTCGAGGCGTTGATGGACGTCTCGCGGGCGACGCGGCAGTGGCACCGCCAAGAAGCATATCAGGTCATCGAGTTCTGGCGTGCACTCACTACAGCTCTTCTCGCGGGTGATGCTGCAACCTTCAAGGGAGCTATGCCGGTTGGGTGACGAAAGGCGAACCTGATGGAGACTGCCGAGGCGAGGCAGCCGACTATGCAGAACATAGATCGCTACAGGAACATGGCCGTGGACATCGATGACCCGCGTGAGTCATCTCGCCGGCTCAGACGAACGCGTCGCTTGGCGCGGGCTTTGACGGTCTGGCGATCGACTGCCACGGTTGCCTTGCCACCTGCCTGGATGAGAACCTCATGCTGCAGCAGACGCTCTCCACGATCATCTCGTAGAGGTTCACCAGTGGTCGTCTGAGCGGGCTGCTGTGCAAAAGCCGCTTCAGGAAGGTTGGTTGTTGAAGCAACGACTGCTGCAGCAGCAAGGGTTCGTCTGTAAGTCAATGTGATCCGCACTGGTCTGATCAGCACGCGCGCCAATACTATGGAAAGAGCTTTGTCGTCTGAGTGGCAAGGCAGCAGGGTCCGTGCAGACGGGCCAACCCGGCACCCAAAGCCGTGAACTCCGAAAAACCACACCACCCCGTGCATGAGAGCTGCTCGTCTGCCAGGGTGGAAATCACGGACGAGGCAAGGCTCAGATCAGGCCGAGCGACGATGCAACTTCTGACTCTGCTACATTTCCCCTTGCCCGTGAGTTTCCATAGCAAGTCCAGCCCGACCGGCGAGACCGGCATAGGTGAGGGAGCCAGCATCCAATTTTATGGATATTGTCAGTGTGGCCCAGTCTCCGAGTGCTTCGGGGTGTCGTGGCTGGTGTCATTCTGTTGGACGCGTGCTTTTGTTAATGTCGTTGTAGCTCCAGGCTCCAGCGCGACAACAGCCATGCTGGTGGATTTTACCTCTTCGTTGGGCGCCTCGGCATATCTGCGGTGTGTGTTTCGTGACATGTCAGCCCTGCGTTCACTGCAGTGCTCGTTCGGGCCGGCAGGAATGCCGCTGAAAAGGTGTGACGCAGAGTTGATCATGGTGAAGATGAAAACCATCTGGGATTGTCTGAGGAAGACTCCGGCGCCTGTGCCAGAACCCCAGCGAAGGGCCGGGTCAGCTCTTACCTGTTTGTGGCGCTGTTTAAGCACCTCCTCTCAAGAATGGCCCGGCTGATTTTGATTCGCTGGGCATGGAGCCTAAGGGTTTCTATGGCATGAGCGTTGCCAGCGTTTCCTCACCATCTAGGGCGCTCATGGCGCATGTGGAAAGTTGCCGGAAACGCTCTTTTGCAAGTGCTGCCAAGGGTGGGCCTCACCCTGCAGTGGACAGAAAATTGCTGGCTGCATTTGCACGCTGAGCTTTGGCTTGCTTAGACCTTTCTCTAGCAACTTAGTGGCACGGCTTTGCCAACATGGCTTGTGGTTCCATCAAATATAAGTATGGCACCGCCGCCTTTTAGTCAAGACTAGATTGTAATAATACCATTAATAATACGACCATAGTAGTGCTGTAGTGGTACTATAATACCATTCTGACAGTACTATAGTACTACTTTTGGACTTAGCACTTGCCTTGAGCATCCACGGTTGTGGCCGACTACCATCCTGTACAACAACATGGCAAAGTTATTGAGATATACTAGTTGTATGACGCCTACCCCGAAACCCAACATCCTAAACCCTGACCCTGAATGTACGTTGAAGTGTGATTGAGGCAATGGCAATTTAACCATAGAAATGCACGTAATTCTATGGACAGATGGCGATGTTCTTAGTTTTGCTCGACAGGACCTAGGACCTAGGACATATGTCGGTATTCAGCCGCAAACTGTCCCTGCTTGTTTAGGGCTCAGAGGCTTAGCTAGTGTTTTAGGAACGGCGCGTGGGGGGAACACCTGCTGATGGCAACCCTGCTGTGCCTCGCTGTCCGGAAAGTTGGGAAAGCAATGGGCTTGAGAAACCATACCTCCATGCGGTGCATCCAGGTTCCGAGGAATGGAGCGGCGTTGAGTCCCATGTTCATACGTTGGGTGGCTCGGAGGTGCAAGATTTGCAAATTCTTCGCATTGAGAGGAATGAGAATTGGCACCTCTATTCCCAATATGCCAGCTACCGCAACGGCCTCGAAAAGCAGAACGAGATGTACTTGTTCCGTGGGAGTCCCGACACGACGAATCAGATTATGGATGATGGAAAAGGTTTTGATACTGCCTATGCCAGTCAGGCGAGCTATGTCCAAACTGGGATCTTAGACATGGTTGTCTCAAGGGAATGAGTTGTCTTTGATTGGGGTGATTGCATGCCTGCCGTATTTGTACAAGTAGAGATTATTCGTTTTTTGCATAGCTCCAAGTAAGCAGGAGTTCAACGCTTATGGCGTTGGCAACTACTTTGCCGCGGACCTTCGGCTATCGTTGTTTTTCATTCGTGAGCAACCTGGGCGCGAGCGGCAAGTTATGTTGTGCCGAGTTGCTTGTGGAAAGATTGGGACCAGGGACCGTGTGCTTCTGCAAGGTGCAACAGCACAGGACTGGAGAGCTGCCCTCATAAGGCCCGAGAACAAGCAAGCCCCTGATGGTTGCCAGTCAGCGACTTCAAGACACAGGAGAGAACTAGTGGTCTACAAGCAGAACCATGCCCATCCAGCGTACAAGATCACTCTCTTGTACACGGAGCCTATCCGGAATCCGTACGACCACCCTGCCTTGTTCAACCAGCTGCTGGCTGGAGGAAGTGCGGTACCCAAAACTTTCAAAAAAAACCCGACTGAAAATTTACAGCGGCAGCAGCCAGACTTCCATTGATGTGACATGCCCCGTAAGTGATCTTTTTGTGAAGGATTTACAGAAAGCCATACAAGAACGTACCGGCATCGATCCTCAGGACCAAACTCTCATGGTCGAAGGTGATTCTACGTTGTTGCAGGTCAGCCAACAGCTGCCCAAGGAAGGCCCTCCGGCTAGGGTGTTTTGACCGCAGCCTGTCTGTGAAGTGTCGGCGAGTGCGCGGCCTTGCTCGGACCCCTTCGGGGAGCCATGCAGGGCTGCACCCTGACACTCTCTCACAGAAGGAAGCAGTCAACACACCTTGCGGTTGCTTGTTGTTTGCCGTCCGCAGGTGCAGATGTTCTGATATTGACAGTTCGCCATTGTACTCGATCATTCGCTGCTTCGATCGCTCGTGTTACTTATGCGCAGCCTTCGATGACGCATCGTATCAGCCTCCCTTTTTGGTGGAACTGTAATTGTTTTTTGTTGCTACTTTTCTATGGTTGTTTTTCCCGTTCTACCTCCTGCGTTTGTTTGCTTGTCGTTTTATCCTTGTTTGTGCTTTTGCTTTTCTGCTTTTCCGCTTTTCTGCTTCAATGCTTTTCCGCCTCTCTGTTCCTAAGCTTTTCTGCTTTTCCGCTGTTCTTTCTGCCTTCTGCCTGTGTTTGCTTGTCGATTTTCTGCTTGTTTGTGCTATTGCTTTTCCGCCTTGCCGCTTGGCTGCTTCTTTGCTTTTCCGTTTCTCTGCTTGTATGCTTCGCTCTTCTGCTCCACCGTTTTTCTGCTGTTCCGCTTCGCTCCTTTTTCCACCCTCATCCTCCGGTCTCGTCCTGCTACGCTTTTCTTCTGTCCGTCCTTCTGGTTTCATTCTGCTCCCAAACACTAAATGAGTTCGGAGGCCCACGACGATGAGCACTACGTGCTCCTGTGCCGGTGGGTGACAACACATTCCTGCTGCCACCACTACAACTGCTGCTACTATTACGACGGCGACTACTACTGCTGCTGCCAGTAACAAGAGTAACAATCAGGATAGGAGGGTGTGTTTTATCGCTTTTTTCTTGCGGTTATTGTTGTTGTCCTGTCGTTTTGGGTGAGGGTGGGGAAGGAAAGGCACGCGCAAGGATGACAGGAAGGAAGGAAAGAAAGAAGCAAGGCAAAAAGACAGAAACACAAACGAAGGCATGCGAAAGGATCACAGGAAGGACAGCCAGAGAGAACGACTGAATGAACGAACGAACGGAACAACGGGACAGAAATAAAAGAAAGCAGGCAAACAAGGACCGATACCAAGAACAAACTAAAGACGGACTAACAGAACAATATAAGGGCAGAAAGAAGCAATTAAACGACATGCGGAAAGAAACAAAGTGCGAAAGAAACGCTTGAATACAAAAAGAAATGAAGACACAAAGGTAAGAACAACACAATAAAGACGCTTCCAAAGATAGAAGGAAAGAAAGACACAACGACATACTGAAAGAACGAAAGAAAACACGAAAGTAGCTAACGACTAAGGAAGGAAACTCCGAAGAAAGAAAGAACAACAGAACGATAGAAAGAAATAGCGACATGCAGAGCAAAACTTCAGGAACGAATCGAAGACAGCAAGATAGAGCAAATGAAAGAAAGAACGACAGCAGGATATAAATAGCAACAAACGTATAAAGACAGAAATAAACATAATGGAGGACATGCGGAAAGAACGAAAGAGTTAAAGACAAGACATAAGGACGGAAAGAAGCATCAGAAAGAACACTTAAAGAAGGAATCCTCAAAAGAGCAGCCAAAGAACGAAACAACGAACAACAAGACAGAAATACAGACAGCAAGAACCACACGCATATACTCGTGCATATACATGATCAATGCACGATCAACATACATACAGACGCATTCTTATCACCCGCAGCGAGACCTACTCAATTGAGGACCTGAGACACAACTGATGTGCTCGAAAGCCACTCCTCACAAACCCAACACAGCTGGAGTACTGAAATATCCACCCGTTTGAAGACCCAAGACACAACTGCATTGAAGACCCCTAATACAGCCAGTATGTATTGCTTGCAGCGCGTTTCTTTGCAGCAAACCCTGTCTACCGGTAGAATGAATACTTAGCGTAGTTATAGTAAGAAGAACATCAATCCAACATACATCTGCTAAGTATTATCTGTACCCGCCTTGTTTACATGTGGCTGATCACAAACCGCAGGAGGAAGTAAACGTCTCGAAGCAAACTACAACTACTAAGTTACTAAGTATTATCTGAACCCGTCTTGTTCCAAAGCTCTTGCAATGTAGGATATGGAAGGAAAACTCATGGAACTGCTGGAATGACCCAAACTCTAGCGATAAATCTCAACAATCTAGAAATAGAACGAATGCTACAAGAAGAGTTCTGTGATATAATTTGTTAACCAGAAAATAGTTGTATACTAGTTATATCCAGGATTTGTTCAAGCGGAGCGCATGTTTTTTTTGCGAGACAAGCAAGTCACGCACGAAATCTGTTGGTAATCGTAAATGCTGTAGGTAAACCAAAAGAATGAAATGTGAGGAAATGGAATGAAGGAAGTGAATGAAACGGAAGCATGATTTCATTCCCTTTGTATGTTTTCACCGCAGCACCCAGAAAAGACCGTTTAACACCTGTACACTTTCTACCTCAGGCTTTTTTGCGAAGAGATATCGAAGCCTAGCACAATATGTTACTGTGTATTCGGATGAGAGCTTGGGAAGGCAAGACCTACCGAGCGGGCTCTGATCTTGGGAGGCTTTGAACACCAAGTGGAGACCCAAAGGTTCATGTCTCTCAGTCTGACAAGCTCACTAAATCGGCGTTTGGCTCAAGAACCAAGTGACGAAGCACGACTAGCGATCCTTCTGCCACAACACAGTGCATGTAGCCCCTCTGCACAGACAGCAGCTGATTCGCGGCCGACGAGCAAAAAGAGTGGACAGCGCTTGCCTGCAAGGGATAAGTTTGTCAAATCTACAGTGGGCACCACTACAACCACATTCAAGACAACGCTCATCTGAGGGGAGCGAGGTTATACGGGACATCGTGTACCAAACCCTCACGCAGGTTATCAGCCGTAGGCTCCGCCTACACCAGGAGTTTGACATCGAAACTCACATCAAGTATGACATCTGGCTCGAGTAAAGATACGACAATGACTTTTGGCGGTGGTGAATTGGCAATGCCAGCGGCAGGTGAGTCTACTGCCGAAGAAGCATGGACCATCTCCCTTGACTCTGCACCACAGAAAAGGACAAGAAACCAAAGCCATCGGCATCATCTTCAAGGCAAAGATCAAGCTCGGCACCAAGGCCAACTTCGCAAACGCGATCATCGTTTATGGGTACCAGAACGAGAACAAGTGACAGACGACCGTCGAAAACGGTGATTCAATGTCTGCAATCGAGCAGGAAAGGCAAGGATCGTGAACCGAGAAGCCCTGAACAGTTGAAATCGAGATCTTCATCGAGCAATGCGTCGAGGAACGCTGCTACGAGACAATCCCAGTCACCTTCTTCGCTGGTCAGACGGCGATCGACCGACGCCGCCCCAGGGATGCGGATAGGTCTGCGCCTAGTGATCTGGGCACTGCCGACTTGGCGTTGGAGAGAGCTATTCAATCTCGTCAACAAGAAGCGCTACGCAACAATCTTCCCGTGTTGAGTCTTACAAGTCAACCTCAACCCCAATGCAAGCAGTCAACAGCCAGATCATCGAGCAGCTAATGCAAGCCGACGAAAGAATGAGCATTTTCCATCAAGAAGACTTTCTACGGCATGAGGCGATCGTGATGAACTTGACTACTAGTTTGAACGAACTGATGTCTCCCTGCCGACGATCCTGTTGGTAGTATTCTGCTGTTTGTCGCCAGTTGTCACGATCATCGCGCAATCTGTCTTCCGTTCGCTTAGCTTGACGTAGTTCAGAACGAAGTTTGTCCATACGTGACTCATATTCTGCTTCCATCCTTGCCAAACGTTCACTGTCGCTTGTAGAAGACGTTGCTGGTCGTGCCAAAGGTCTTGCTTGAGATGAAGATTCACCTTGTCCTTGCCTCTCACAGCGGCTCTCACGTCACATTCCACCAACTCCGCGATCAACCTTTCTGTCCCGCCGTCGTCATCTTCCTTGAAAATGCTCTTGTAGGGTCGTGTTGCGGACGATGAAGACGAAGATGGCCTCCACATACCCTGCATCTTAAGAAGATCAAGTAGTTGAGCGTCGCGCATGGCGTTCGCTCGACTGACCATTGAATCCGTATTGGTCTCGGCGTTTCCATGATCCGCTCTGGTTTGCAGCTGAATCTGTACTCGATGGCAATGATGGGCCAGCTTGATGATCCATGTTGACATCTTGTACGACGTGTGTGAGACCAGGTTGCACTTCAGAAATGATTTTGCTTCTGTTCACAGCACTGTATTGAGCGGGCGTGCCAAGTTCTGGGGATCGCACTTCAACTCCTACCGGACATGACAATCCTTTCTGACTACTAACATGGCTACTCACATATTCCCATCCCGCATCAGAAGTCTTCGATGACAATGGCATGCTTGAGGACTGTTGAGAAGCTTGATGAGCTTGCCGTCGCGCAATTTCGAGTTCTTGTTTCCACGCCTGTTGACTGCGTGCCTGTAATTCTTCTTGCTGTCTCAAGCGTTGACGTAGTTCACCCAACTCATCGTGTAGAGCCGTAAGTGGTAATTCACGTTCTCGAACTTGTCTTGCGAAAGCTTCAGCTCGCTCCATCTTCATTGTAGCTTCGGATCGGGCTATTTCTTCCTTGCTCAGACGACTTTGTAGAGCTCGAGCACCAGACTCCATGGCAAGCACTCTTCCATTCGCCTCCTCCTGAGCTGCACACTCCTCTTCTTTCAGCATGTCAATTCTCTCTTTCATGATCACGATCGCAGATTGGTTTTTGGACGATTCCGTCCTGAAACGTAGGTTC